GGGGGGGGGGGGGGGGGGGGGGGGGGCATGGCGGTGCATTGAAGTCAATGGCACCGCAATCACGCCCCTCACCCGCAGTGCGATCGCCCGCACCTGGAACGCAGGCACATTAGTGCAATCTGTTTTTGCAGATTGCACTGGACCGGAATGCAGGCTGGCATTCACACTGTGGGCGGGAGGCATGGCTGCGATGCCATTGACTTCACTACAACCCCACGCCCCCTCCTGCCCCTGAACGCAGGGAGTCGGCCGGCTTGCATTCCATTGTGTTCTAGAGGCGCCTGCGTCCTCCCCTCCCGCGGTGCTAGTGTGGCCGAATATGCACACGGGGAGAGGTGTCCTGCCCCTTTCCATCGAGCACCGCGGGAGCATAGCCGTAGCTAGCTACTTTTGCGCCCGAGGCAAGAAAAAAAAAACTATTACTATTTTTTATTTATTTTTTATTATGAATGAATAGGAAGTGATGTAAATCACATCCTGTTCATTCTTAACTGGGGACACATACTACTATGTGTCCACAGTTATTTACAAACATTGGAGTGATCAGCTGATCGCTCCAGTGTTTGTCCTAGCACAGAGGATTGGTACACATTACTGATTGTACCGATCCTCTGCCGCTCGGCCACGCACACAGGGAGGCTATGGAGGCTCAGCTCCTCCTCTGGCTCTCCGCTTCTCTCCCAGGCAGAGGCAGCGGGGGATCCGAGAAGTTAGGAAACCACTTAAGCCAAGGGGGGGTGGGGCATTCGGACGTGATACAGATGAGATTTCCCAGCAATGCTCTGCTGATGACAAAGCAATCCCAGTGTGCATTGCTTTGGCAAACTGAAGTCATTTTGCCCCTTCAAAGCAGGAAGTGAATGCGCTGCAAGTTTAAGCATTTCAAAATCACAGCATTTTCTTATAAATTATATTGAAGATCTTAGTGATGTATTGTTTAGCAGACTTTGTGGAGACTTGTCGTCTACTATAAAGGGTCCATGCACTGTTTATTTTGATTATGCCGTTACAGAACATCTATAGACTTGTACTGGAAGACTGAGCGAGCAAAAGCACTGTCGCTGTAGTAAGCAGGAAACAAGACTTGTATATGTAATAAGTAGGGAAGCACCGATATTTCGGCCGCCGAAACATTTTAACAGAAAAATGGTACTATGGACAAAACGCCAATAGTACAAAAACGGGTGAAAATTGCATCCCTATCTTCGTTCCGCCCCGCTGGCCCCGCCTATAATCGGCAGCAGGGATCCGAGAGGACACAGAGGATCCAGCTGCCGGCGCCCAGTGCGGAGGAGAGAAGCTTTCAGGCTGCGACAAGCAACACAGGATGGGGTGTGGTATACAAACAATCAGCGATCAGAACAGGTATGCTTACTGTGTCCCCAGTTATGAATGAACAGGAAATGCTACACATCACTTCCTGTCCATTCATGATTGTGGACATAGTATCAGTTATCTCCACAATTTACAATTTATGAATTGACAGGAGCAGGGTATAGAGGCTTCCTGTTCATTCATCACAGGGGCTGCAGAAAAAGATTTAGGACTCCTCAATCTTTCTATTTTGAATAGAAAATTTCAGGGGTCTGTTTAGACCCCTGATATTTCCCCAAAACCCCTTAACAGTAAAAAAAAAAAAAAAAGTCACTTTTGGTTTCGGCCTGACAAAGGATAGTGTATGCCCAGCCTAAGACGATCAGAAATATCAATAACTCTGACATAGGGATCAGATAAAACTGAAGAAATGTTTATTAAGCTAGTCATTATAAAAGAGCTCCAAGTATGCAACATCTTATGATCCAATAATAAAACCCCAATTTGGGTATTACCCATGCAACAAACAAAAACTACAAAACACTAACCTGCTTACAAGCATAATAGGCAACATTCTTACACAGGTAAGCCAAGTCAACAAATACCTGCAGTAACTGCTGCTTGAGTTTCTGTATCTCGGTCAGGCTCAGTTCAGTGAAGAGATCGGAAGCCAATTTGGGTCCAGGATGAAAGATGTCACTGTTACGTGGGGTGGACATTAAGACCTCTCCATTGCACTTGTATCCGCTGTCAAATTCGTCTTCATTTGGGTCTTCAAGGTTGGCTTGAAGATTTCCTATGGAATCATAACTGAGGAACCCGGACAGTTCTCTCCGAAGTTCATTCTTTTGTTCCCTCTCACTTTTCAATGTCTCCAGAGCTTCCTCCAGCTGGCGCTCAGCTATGTCTTTTAATCGCACCAGATCATCCAACTGTCCATTTAATATATCGATTTCTTCATCTCTTCTTTTCAATTCATGTTTTAGCCCTTCATAGTCCACCTTGGGGGACAGAAAAATAAATGTTAAATGGTAGGGGAAACCCCCCCACGTTTTAAAAGTAGATCTACATTTTGTAACTGAATACAAGGCCAAGATTACATCTGTCACATTTCTAGCTGGGTCAGTCGCACTACATTTTCTTAAACGAATTTTAAAATCAATTTCATTTTATTTACTTTGTCCAAAACCCCCGAGTGCTTCCCACCTGCATTATCTTTAGCCCTGATCCAACGATCTTCACTGGGCAGCCCCTTGCTCATAGTTGAAGGGTCTTTCCTCTGAAAATGGCCGCTTTGCACTATACATGCACAATGCAGCCCCATTCATTCTTATGGTAAAGCAATGCTCTGGCAGACCACTTGAGGCCACCATGAGTACAGCTTTCCCATAGGAACGACTAGGGCTGGAGCCACTAGGTTTCACTGGCAGGCCCAAAAACAGCCAAATATTTAAAATGTAAACCTGAATCCTAAAGTTGTATAACTCGCTTCCTTTTTGCGATATAGAGCTTTTCTAAAAAGGTTTTATATCGGTTGATCCTGCCAGTTTCTGTACACTTTCTCGCTGAAAGGCCTTTCAAACAGTGGAATAGGAATGTATGAATGGTTTAAAAAAAAAAGAAAAAAAGAAAAATATGCAGGTGCTCCTGGTAGTGCCGGCACTCAGTAGTTCCTTTTGCCGATGCTCTGACAGCCTGCGGGTTGTAGGGGGCAGCATTGTGTATTAGTGCGTGTGAGAAATGTGTGAACCTGTTTGTCCTCTATGATTAAAATTAAAACATGGAGAAAACGCACCTCTCAGAAATCCTGACAATAAAACAAACCAATCACAAAAATATACAGACATTGCATACAAAGAAACAATCACAAAAACACATGCAGACATTAACACTGGTACCGTATATATAGTTAAAATTTTGAAGTATAAAATATTATGAAATTTGGCAAGTGGCCCCATGGAAGGAAATTTGTCCAGTGGCCCCAAGGTGAATTGCGTTTCATACCCTTGCTTTATAGGAATTTTTATTTCTTCCTCTGGATCAACTGTGGTCCTGTTTACTGAAAATTATGGGGGTTACACTTCTATAGGTTAAACTAGATGGACCTGTGCATTTTTTTTCAGCAGGACTATAATAGGGTGATCACCAGCTCCCAAATCTGCAGGCCAGTTGTTTCCCTGTGCAGTCATCTAATTCGCTGCAATCAATAGTCAATGCCCCCTTCTGGCTAATTGACAGCTGATTTGACTAATTTGTAGTGGAGACAGTGACTGGACAGTAGGGATGGTCCGCCGGTTCCATTCGAACACGAGTTCGAATCGAACATTGGCTATTTGAGCGCTCGACGAACTTTATGGGATGTTCGCCCTTGTCCCCATCGGCACGGGGACACCCTCCCAGTGCCGAGGGCATGTGGCATGGTGTGGGAGGGAGGGGGTGCTCGCTCGTCCCCCCCCCCCTTCCGGCCCTGCCAGGCCTATGCTCGAATCAAGGGTCTGGTATGGAATTTTAGGGGGGGACCCCACGTTTCCCCCCCTCAAAATTTCTACCAGACCTTAAGGGCCTGGTATAACAAAAAAAATCCTTCCCAACATTCCTACCAGACCTAAAAGGGTCCGATACTGTTTGGGAGGGGGAACTGCACACTTTAAGAGTAAAAAAAAAATATGTTTAAAATTTTAGAAATGTCAGTTTTGCTGCAGCATGTTCTACAGATCCGCCACTTCATAGGCAGGTTAAGGGGACCCCCCCCCCAGGCACAATATTTGAAGGAATTTTTCCTTTTTATTGTTACCCTTTAAGTGATGTTAAGATCACTGTTCCTTTAAAAACGTTTGTTTCTTGTTTCATTGATTACCGTCTCCCAGAGCAGTACCTGGATCCGCATACACCCTTTATGGCAGATAACTTGCATATAAGCACTCTTAAAGGGGACAATCATTTTCAAGAGTTCGACCCCCATTGACTTGCATTAGGTTCGAGTTCGTATTCAAACTTTTTGGCCGTTCGAATACGAACCAAACACGGGGGTGTTCGGCTTATCACTAATGGACAGCCCTGTTACAGTTAATGGAAAAATAATGGCTCTACAGGCAGGTAATACAAATGTTAGAGGGAATTCAGGAAAGCAAACACTGCAGTGTTAATTCTAGTGAAAGACTACGTCATCATTTTTAATTTTGCCCATAGTGCACTTAAGTAAATTCATAATGGGGGCGGGGGGGGACATTGTCAGATACTGCTCACTAAGGAGAGTTTTGAAAACTTAAATTCCTGTTTGTGATTTATAGTGTCATCTGGTCAGTTTGTAATACAAATATTAAGCTGGAAATATAAAATTACCTGGTTTTCCTTCAAGACAGACACTTGTTTTAAAAGAGAAATATTTTCTTCCTCAAGCTCGGTAAAGTCTTGCAAATGTTGCATTTCCCCAAGTTTACATTGTTTTATCTCAACCCGTAACTGGGTCTTCTCCTTCTCAATATCTTGGCATTCCTACAGAGAGGGAAAACAGTAAGTAGTAACTATGGAAAGTGGAACAATAAACAAAAGGCATTTTCTGCTTGACTAGAACATACGTTTTAGGGAAAACTTCAATTTATAATGATTTTACATTTCAAAAAAAAAAAAAAAACATTTCTTTTTTACACTTTTTTTTATAGCAACCCAGTGGGAAAAAATATTTAAATTATAAATGTTTTCTTCAAAGAACACATTTAGTACTCATCTCTGCAGTAGTGTAGAGAAAGCCAAACAAAGATTCTGCAGAATTTCAGCACGTCTGGGTACGTCAGATTCCCCCACTTGGCTCGGTGGTTCAATAATCCAGCCCCTATGTCAGTCCCTAATGTGTCCTGTAGTAACGTAGGGGCTTGTGAGAAAAACCACAACATAGATAAATCTGCGGGATATTCATCTGGCTGTTTCTCTTCACTTATTTGTGGCACAGACAGCAGAACAGGTCAGTATTTACTGTCTTTGCAGGGGAAAAAAAAAAAGTTAAATATAGAAAGAATCACTTTAACCCTCTCCCTGCCACAGACGTCATAAGGCAGGACACAGCTGCTTCCAGCTGGTCACGCCAGTATGCCTTACATCGCTGGCTTTGACCCTTCTGCTATAGGACCATGAAATTATAACAGAAGGGTCCCCCTGACGGTCCCCTGAAAATAAAATCCAGCCTCTTCTCCCTTCCCAGTTTGTGGATGAACAAGAAGCCTTGAGGCTAGAGTGTATAGAGCGATATGCATTTCACATTGAGGGGAATTTATCATAGCAATTGCGAGTGTTTTAACTTGCACAGCATATATTTGATGCACTTTGCGCCAGATTTATGATGCTAGTGTAATGTTGTTCATATATGAGGTTATGCCCTCATTCACACGACTAATAGCCGGCCCGTACAGATCCATGCACGGCTGTTCCCAGAAACGGCAGGTGCTGCGTGTGATTTGTACGCAGCAACTCGGACGCAGACAGGATCCATCTGGTCTGCGTACGAGTACGGACACCCGCACAGACGTGCAGTTCGGGTGAGCGTACCGCCACATACTCCCATAGAGAAGAACAAGCTGCTGCGTACAAATCACACGCAGCACCTGTCCTTCCCAGGAGAGGCACGATACGGCCCAGCACGCAGCACAGATCTGAACGGGCCATCTGTGTGAATGAGACCTTAATAGACTCTAAGAATACTTGTAACTCCAGGCAAAAAGCTTAGGGTTCGTTCTACTGAACAGACTGCATCACAACTGCATATGGTGTGAACTAACCCTTAACTGTCACTTGTTGAAGAAGTGGTCATGGGGACTTCTTACATTGCAATTGTTTTGTTAGGTGATGCTCCAGTTTCAGACAACCGCGGAACAAGTGCAGATGAAAACAGGTGCAAAAACGTGCAATTGAAAAAGTAGTGCAACCTCTGGTCAAAACAGGCGCACATAAGACAGATTTGCACATTTAAAAAAAAAAAAAAAATAATAATCTAAGAGGCTAAAACTGTCACAATTGGTTTTGATAAATTCCCCTCTGTGTCCTCAATCCCTTTCTCTATCTCAAAAGGGAAATGTCAAGGTTCTGTTCAGACCCCTGATATTTCCCTGAACGGGATAATGCCGTCATTGGTCCTCAAGGGGTTAAACCCACTAGCATAAAGGAAGCCTTGTGGGGAGTAATGACCCGCCTTCCAGCTTCCCGATTGGCCGGGAAGCCGGCTCCATGCTGATTGGCTGGAAAGCTGGCTTTCCCGACCAATAACAATT